TTTACGCCACTGAAATTTATACTCCAACGGAGTCTCTTAAACTAATGTGGGCTTGGACCCACATTAAATCTTCGAAATTCTACGGACCTATCGTATTGGGCTCGTAGGTGCCCGTCGGGATAATTCGCTCGGTAAACCACTATGTTCTTTAAAGAAAGTATTTTTCCTTGTAAACTTCCTTTATGAATACTTTCATTAAAATAAGATTTAATGTCATTGTATTTTACTAGAATTCTATCTCAGGTTCTTTTATAACTTTTTGTTGAAACCGACACTATTTCAGTTTTGTTTTGTTAAAAACTGTGCAGTTTCTGAAATCTACGTTTTACTGTATCTTAGAGTCGGATTTCAAAATTTTGTTCTTCGCAAAAATTCCTCGTCTCGTCGAGATCTAAAATTTTCATTTTTTGTAAAAGTTGAAATTCGGCCTCTAAAGGCCTCGTTTGGCTGAAAACCGTGGCTGTTGTTTTTCTTGAAACTGTTTTAGTCAAAAACCGTGCCGTTTCGGGAATTTGTATTTTAGTACCTCTTAGGATTGGATTTTAAAAATACTTTCTTCATGAAATTTCTTTATCTCATCGAAATCTAAAATTATCACTTTTATGAAAAATCGAGATTGAGCCTCTAAGGGTCCCGTTTGGCTGAACCAGTGGCTGCCAGTTTTTTTTTTTTGAAACTGTTTTGGACAGCTTGTCCGTTTTTGTAAAATGACTTCAAACTTGGTTTTAGAGTTAAAATTAGGTTTTGTCATAGTAACCGAAAATGTTCAAAACATCCAGGGCTATAAGTTCAAGCTTTGAAACATTGAAAAATCTCGCTCTAGGGTTCTCATTTTCACGGTCAAAGTCACCGGAAAATTTTTCTTCTAATCCGAAAATAAGCAACTTAGATCAAGCATAAACATATCACATCAAACTAACCTCAAAACTCACAAAATCAGCATAAAACTCACACACCCTTATTACACTTATCTCCTCATGAACCACAAATTACATCATGAATTCGTGCTTAACGTTGGCTAGAAAAATAATGGCGAAGAGTTTAAAAATCTTACCCTTAAAGAGTTCTCTCTCTTGAAAGCCTTTGATCTCATCTAAGATTCGTTAATGGCTTGAAACTAGAAGAGGATAAGAAAATTTGAGAAGAATATTTCTACATTTCTAACTTTACTAAAATATAAAAAAAAAGAGAATTTTAGAGTTTTTACCCTTGGAGAAATACTTGTCTAGACTCCTCCTTTTCTCCTTCAACTTAAACTAGGATTTGTGGTGAGATTTATGGGAACTTTTGAGTGTGTGTGAGGTAAGGGATGGCTTGGTTTTGGTGAGGGGAAAAGTTTAGAAAACTTGAGGGTTGGAGCTTTGGAGAACCGGTTTTGAATATGGAGAAGGAAGTGAGATAAAGCAAAAGTTAGGCTTAGATTACATTGGTTCTATTTATAGACCACTAGGTTATTACCTCCTTTAGTCTACTAAACTAACAAAAATTTTGCTTAAAACCCCTTGAAGATGGCCGGCCAAGTGAAGAGAAAAAGGAGAAAAAACTAATCATGAGTCATATTCACCTCTCTCATCACATCACATCAAATCATACACACTAACCTACCCCTTGTACTTTTATCCATTCCCTTAAGTTACTTATTAAAACTGTCTAAAATTATACTGACAGTTATTTTCTCCTGTATACGGGTACTGGATGCTAGTTTGTATTGTGCTGGGAGCTTCTTAAAATTAAGATTCTCAAACTGTATCTGTACTGGAAATTCTTCCGTTTTAAAGCACGGTGAGAATTTATCGATCGAATTTGCTTGATCGGAAAAACGTGAATTTAACGTGAAATCTGCTACAGAATTTAGGAATGCAGATGTTAATTCCATAAATCCTTCAATCACAAAATGTACATAGTATAATGATTTTCCAGGAAAATCCTTGACTTGAATACATGAATTACATTATTAAAATTCTGGGATTTTTTTGGTCACTACATTTTATATATGCACCTACTTAATTTTTTTTTTTTACAAAAAAGCTCCTCTATCTTTTATAGTTTAATCTTTTAACTACTATCTATACATATGGTGGCCTCCTTGTTCTTGTTGTTCTTCTTTTTTTTGTTTCTATTTTTTAACTTTTTAAATTTTTTTCTTTTCTTTTGCTTATTGTCTTTTTTATTTTCTCCCTAATATTTTTAGCAGTTCATGTTTTTAACAATATCCTTCATTGAAATACTTTCTTTTAATTAGAATAATTCCTTTTAATTATGCCCCTACTTAAGTTTTTCGGTCAAAAACTCTTTTGTAACTTTAATTATTATTTTTTAAACTTTTTCTTTTTTCTCTTTTTAAACTTTTTTTTTCTTTTCTTTTGCCTAATGTTCTTTAAAAAAAAATTAAATTCTTTGACAGCACATATTTTTCTAGTATCTTTCTTTAAAATACCTTCTCTTTTAAATACGTCCCTACTTAAGTTTTTTTCTTGGTTAAAAACTCCTATATAAATTTAAATCCATTTCGATGTGATTTTTTTCAAATACTTATTTTCTTCTCGCTCTAAGTAATGGACTTAGCTTTAAAAGACGCCATGTGTTTTAATGCGGAATCAAACTTATAAAGTTATTGTGGCTCAACTAGTGCTTGCAAAATTACAGTCTTCAATCGTAACATGATTAACAGCAAGGAAATATAACTACATTGCAACACAGAATCATTTCACGTCATACGCAAATTTCAAGAGAAGCGCAAATAGAAAGCAAATCATAGTCTGCCTGCTGTAAATGATATCATTCTCATGGACCTTATGAAGCTCTGGTGTCCCAAACTGAGCTTTTTGCACGCTGAACAAGGCCGCAACAAAAGGCAGTCATTTACCAGAAAAGATGAGCAGAGGCAATTAGATATACAGAAAAAGTAAACGAGAAAGGTAACAAATAAAAAATGTCCTGTCTAATATGATCAATTCGTTTGGTTGAAGTTAACCTGGAAAGCTAATTAAATAAGAAAAAAAAAATGTGGATGATTACATATGAAAATGCATAGTAAGCCAATTCACATTGATCCCAAATGAGATTTTTGATTTTTATTCTCTTTTGAACTACAAGACTATGGAGTCAATATTTTGATTCTTTTTCCGCTAACTACTGCTATTACTTAATGCCATTTTACATAGAATTGCCACTCTATTAGGGATCCAAATTACAGTACTACTAATGCTACATAAAATTGTTACTTCACACTAAACAGTAAGATTGAAGAATGGAATTGTTGGCTTTACCTGATATATCACCCGTAAACAACATAAGGATGAAGGACATCCTTGGTCTCGGGATGTTTCCATGCCAACAGCTCATCCCACCACTTCTTTGGTACTTCGATTTTTTGAAGAGAAGGGGGAGGATGTGGCTCATCCCAAAGCAGTGTGATCCTCATCAGCTTATAACAATCAATTATACGAATTTCTTCGAGCGAATCAGAAATTCTTATGCTACAGCTGCAGAAAGTCTTTAATTCATGAAGGTAATACAAAGACAGATACCTCAACTTGGGGGGAGTGAGTATGGTTGTCGTTATTACTTCCTCATCTTTGTCTCCATTATCCAATGTTTCTCCAATTATTGTCGCCAACTGTCTGCAATTTACGACAGACAATCTTTCGAGACTTCGGAAGTGAGACAGTAGAGCAGGCGTGAACAACGTCTTCAATTCATGACACCCATTTATCTCCAATTCCTTTAGAGAGGAAAAAGTGTTGGCTGGAAGTACTATCGATGATGATGCTGGATTACTCCCTCTTCTCTCAATCAAATCAGTCAACGTGGGAACCTCCTGAAGGACTAGTATTTCAAGTGTTTGAGGAAAATGAAGATCTGAGCAACACGAGCAAACGACGTGTCTGATGCTATAACAGTAGCGAATTTTGCACACTCTCAAATCAGTTGCCTTCCTCAACACTGCAACATGGCTTAAACTCGTCGCGCCATGACAATGTTTAAGTGTTAGGAACTGAATGTTTGTAGGTAAGAGTACAGATGTGTCACCAGCACCTACACGAAACAAGTGTGCTTGCTTGCCGAAAAAGGCCCCGACATCAATGTCCTTATCGTATGCTTCATTAAATGCCACAAGAATGGTGTATTTGGTGGGTTCTCTCCCTTCCCATGAGCTGACACATGTGTTTAAATCATCAAGGTTGTCGAATTGCCCGTAAAAACTTTCCAACTTTCTCCAGCTCCCTACTTCCCCTCCTTTTAGTGCTACTGAATCATTTGATTCAAAGAATTCTGTACCTGCAAGTTGAGGCAAGATCCCATTGGGTATCATCTTTAGATTCCAACACCCCTTAAGACTGAGATATCTCAAGTTGATTAACTTCTCGATGCCTTCGGGTACCTCCTTGATTCTTGTGTGTCTCAGGTCAAGCCTCCTTAGAGCCGTGAGATGTTCCAAACTTGGCACGCTTCTTAGTTCTCGACACCATCTAAGCAACAAGGCAGCAAGACTTGTCAAGTTAGATACTGAATCCGGAAGACTTTCTATCCTGGTATCTGATAGATCAAGAATGCTAAGCATCCTCATATCGACGAAAAAAGAGTCTGAGATGATTTTCAGTAAGTGATTTGCACGAAGCAACAATGTTGAGAGTTGGGGACATCTAGGACATGTATCGAAAGGAATATGTTTGATACGATTACGCATGAAAGAGACCCTCACAAGATTGTCAGACCACTTTTCTTCATTTGGAAGATCTCTCAAACCTAATCCAGCTTGTACCAAGAACTGAGGACTCACACGCGCAATTTTGACGGCCATGTCCCTCACCAAGTCTTGCATCTTCACACACCTCTTCTCAACTCCGTTTATTTGACCTTCCAACAAGCAAACATTTTCAAGTTTATTCAATATGGTGTGACCCTTGTGCACCTTTGATTCTCTACTGTCCATTCCGTCGATCAATTTCTCATCGATGAAATACTCTATTAAATCATCTCTTTCAATCAACTCGTCTTCTGGAAATAATGAGCAATATAACAAACATTCTTTTACTTTTTGATCTTTTAACCTGTCATAGCTACATTTCAAAACACAAAATACACCATAAAATTCCATCTCATCATTCCTATACTTTGCTTCTTTTATTTCTTCCAATGCATTACTCCACTCATGCATGTCATCAACTCCTCTCATGCTTCCGGCCATTACGATAATCGCTAGTGGCAAACCGTCACATTCTTCTACCAGAGACTTTGCAATTCCTTCAGCTTGACGAGAGAGTAAAGTCTGTTTCCCAAGTGTCTCCATGAAAAGTGTCCAAGCTTCTACTTCAGAAAGAGGCTCCACTTTTATTTTCTTATGGCAATCAATCATTCGACACACATCCAATGACCGCGTTGTTAGAACTAGCTTACATCCATCATTGCCAACACGAATTCCCACTTTCTCCAGGGATATATTATCCCACACATCATCTAGGATGAGTATAAATTTTTCCTTTCGGCTCAGGGCCCTTGCCAGTTCTGCCGCTCTTTTCATCTCATCATCTGTTTCTGATATCTCGAAACGCATCGCTTTTGCAACGTCGTGTTGCAATTTACGAATGCTGAAATTCTGTGACACAGTAACCCAATACACCATGAAACTTTGATGATCGAGAAGTTGGTTGTGAATATGTGTAAGCAGAGTTGTTTTTCCGACCCCTCCCATCCCATATACGCCAATAATCGAGTCCTCTCCGCCCATTAAACAATCCCAAATCATATTCTTATTCTTCTCAAACTTTTCTCCTATCAATCTTTTGGTTAGCAATGCAACTCCTTCCTTTTCATATGCTTCAAGTGTGAGCCCTCTCGGAAACTTGCTCTGCTCAATAAGTTCTGTTGCTTCTATTATAAGTCTGTCCACACTATTTCCCAATTGTGGATTTGGGCACCATGATCTTCTTTGCTGAATTTCGCGTTCTTGTTGTTGAACTTGATTCTTTATCCTCTCAACCTCTGCCAACCAGTTATGTACTTCCTTCCTCGGTTTCTTTCTGCGCGAGCTGTATTCTAATTGTTTCAGTTCCTCTTTAATGTCATCTTCTTTGCTTTTCAATACTTGAACTTTTCTTTTCAATGTATCCACCTTTTCATCAAGCTGGTTCAAGCCCAGAAAACTTCCTATGTGCTCCATACCTTCCCAAAAAAAAAACCATATCGAAAGTAAGTATCTAAGCTTTGAATTCATAATGACATGATCTTTATTCTGACTCTTAAGGAAGCTATAATGCTATATTTTGTCTCTCTGATTGGAATTCTATTTAAGAAAACGTTTCTTCAAAACCCAGTGCTAAAAGGGATAGAAACAAAAAGTTGATTTTATATTTTTGTGGAACATACTAAAAAGAACATTGGAAGTATTATTGCAGCAGGATAAAATTACATGTTCGGATTGGTTGAAGATTAATTAATAAAGATTGATTGTAACTGAAACACCAAGGACCAATTGAAGACTCTACAAAATGAAAATAAATAAAAAATAAAAAAAAACGTAAGAAAACGAAAGAAAGTATGAATATAAAGAAAAAGAAGACATTTTGCAGCATACTAGCCTAGGGGCTAATGTTGTTATATATGCATAACCTTCCAGACTAAAATACATCGACGTGGTTGTACCCCCTTCTACCAAATTTTGTTATTTGTTATTTGTTGGTCATTCAAGAAATCCAAAGAAAAGAAAAATGATACATGTAGTTTTGAGAGAAAACTTTTCTTGTATTAATTGAGCCAAAACATGGCTATATATACACAAGGATATACGGTATACATGTTGTCATTACAGCTGTGATTATAACAGAAAAAAAGAAACAAATCACCTATTCAAAACAGGAAACTAATGACACATTAATTCTAGGAAGTCAACTATGTACTTTCCTAAAATATACAAAACATATCCGGATTCTTTCCTAATCTCCAATATCCGGATTCTTTCCTATTTTCCAACAGATACAAAATGTCTCATAATATTTATTTAGATTAATTTCACAAATGTCCCTAAATTTAGTATCATGTTTCAATATGACCCCCTCATTTTGGAAAGGGTTCATTCCGCCCTTAATTTTGTATCCTAGTTCATAATGTCTCCTACCTTATAAAACTAACAAAATAATGATGTGGTACTATTTATAATTTTATAAATGCCCCTCAAACTATTGATTTTAAGTCAACTTACCCCTTGAAATATTACTTTTGTGTCAATTTGTCCCTTGATTTTTTAGCAAATTCGGGGGCAAGTTGACACAAAATCAACAGTTCATAGAGCATTTATGAAATAATATTAGTTCATGTGGTGTTTTTAACCGCTTTACATACTTTATGGATCAAAACGAACCATTTTCAAAATTCAGGGGGCATGTTGAAACATGATACAAAAATTCAGTGGGCATTTATAGAATTAATCCTAATTATTTTGCCAAGCTATTGGTGTGAAGATTAAGTTCATGATTTAAATATTATTTGTGTCCGTGTGATACGTATATCATACATTCATGCACACATATATCCAACGTGAAAGTCAGAGGAGATAACCAGCTAATTATGTTGTTAATGGAACATACCGGGCCTGACTGAATGGCGCCTGAACTCCCTGAAACTTTGGCATGCACCGAATCGAAACCAACCACAACTGAAGCAATCAAATTAGCAAAATGAAAAACTGTACTTAGCTATATATGTATATGTGTGTGTATATATAATGATGCAGACAAGGAACCAAAATAAAATCTATGGTGTATTCAACCGATACAAGTCTCGACGGAGCATCAATTATAAGTAAAAAAGAAAATATATAACGAACAATGCGTGATATATAATAAGTACCTCTCTTAATTAGCCATAGGAAATTATCTTTCTTGTATTGTTTTCAGAGGATTCAGATGAAATCAGAGCACTATTACGATCAGGAAGTATGGTATAATTAAAGGCCAATACCCAAAGATGTGGCATGATCAAAACGATTAAAAAATGAAAAGAAGAAATTGGGATCAGGTTTGTGATTAACTTTTTTGATTTGCTAATCTCTTTTCATCTAAAAGTCAGTGCTTTAGAAAAGCTTAGTGGCTCTCATTGCATGTAGCTTTCAACTTTCGGCCATCTGGTGCTTAAGGTTTGACATACAAATGGAAAAAGATAAGGTTTGTTATATTCTTTGTCTTTTTGCAAGTCAATAATGGAGGAACTTTAAATGATGACTAACACTCATAGGAATACGATGAATATTTAAACAAGTCAGGAGAATCAATATTGAATATTGGCTATGGCGTTGATTTACTACCGTCCAAGAAGTTCACGCTGTACTTTCTTTAATATTGTAGTGTGCTAAAGATTGGAGATAGAAGAGTAAATTGGCTTCTCATTCTCTATATATAAATACAATAGAAGATAAGCTGCACGAAGGCCGCTTGAGGTGGTTCGGGCATATCCAACGTAGACCGCTAGAAGCACCAATTCGTGCTTGGGAGGACATTCTTATACCTAATACAAGGAGAGGGAGGGGTAGACCAAAAATTACGTGGACTGAAGTCGTTAGGAAAGGCATTCTAGATCTAGGCTTTCAAAAAAGTTTAATTTCGCACAGAGCCGTGTGGAAAAGTGAAATCCATATAGTCGACCCCAATTAAATTGAGATTAAGGCTTGTTGTTGTTGTTGTATACATTTGCCGTAGAATTACTCACCCAAAAAAAATAAAAAATAAAAAATAAAAAAACTTTAATATACTAATTTTAAAATATGGTGCAGTCATGGTAATGGATGCCACAATGCAACAAAAGTCTTATGTATGCGAATTTAAAAATATTCTGAAATGTTAAGACTTATTAAATTATATATACTTAAAAATATTATTATGGAGGCAGACTAATATTGGTACCAGTACAATATTATGGCTAGGATTTCAGACTGAAGTAATCATCACTGGCAAGTAATATAAGTACTATGACTAATTAGTATTCAGTATGGTTGCATGAACGAAGATGCGAAGTTTCAATACCACAAAGCGGGGAAAAAGAGTAAAAGAAAGTTAAGAGGTTTTTAAAATAAAATTATTTTGAAAAAAGAAAAATTCCTGAAATTTTGGACAACTAAGTTTATCATGAGAGCGTTAATAGTTTTTCTATATAAGTCATGTTAAGTAACAGCTCAAGAAGCTGGCCGTTACATTAACACGTTTTGCCCCCCTCTTTTTCTATTTTTTTTAACAAAAATTAACAAAGTAAGGGGTTAACTAGAACTAATTCAAAATTTAAAGGGTAAAATGTGAGCTTTTTAAGTTTGTGGGCAAATTGGGAATGACATTAAAGTTCAGTGCCACAAATGAGCTTAACCTTTTTTTTATTTTTTATGAGTGATACATTTCTCAAGGATACAACAAATTATCGGTGATCTTTGTCAGATATTGACACTTCTATATATTGTCATAGATTATAGATGCTATCCTCCAAAACTTAAAATTCTTGCAAAAATCTCATTTAGTCAAATCTCATTCCGTCAAATTTTTAGGGGCAACGAGAAACAAACCTCACGTATGTCAGTTTGCTTGGCCTCATATTTGTGTTAGGTGTCTTTCTTAAGTTATCCTCATACTTTCATTTATACGATCAGCAACCCCAAATCCTGAAATGCTTGCAAAAATCTTGCCATGTCGTGTTCTCAAGTGGTTTAATTGATGGGAAGTCTCAAGTTCAAAAATCAAATCAGCAAAAAATAGAAACGACAACAAAGAAGGCAAAAACATGAAAGATTTAACAACGTTAACACGACACAGTGTGAATGAAGTCCTTTCATCAATTCCCTTGGAATTACGATAGGCCCTAGAGCATATAGTACAAGAAATAGTACTGCTCTAGCTTATTTTTTCAATAAGTACCATATATTTAACGTGAAACAAACTTTATGAATATACACACCTCTTTATAAACAAGCCTGAAAATCATAACCCAACTTCGTGCTCGACGCAAATCATAAGAGTTCATCACATGGAAGCTACATAGTCGGTAGTTGTACGAACCCAACTACAAGCAATTGTGCTCCTGACACTATGAATTCCGTCGCTCCATTGAATCCAACCAAAGGTTGCCAACTTATCACGGTTCCCACCGGTCGACGAGAATGTAATCTCGTATGTTTGTGTCGGATTATTTGCATCGAACACAAGCCTATTTGGTGAAATGGTGATCTTTGTACCCTCAGGTGCAACCGCAGTCGCAGAATAAACAGCATCCACATTGGTTCCCACATTTGTAACAGTTCTCCTATACTTCACTGTCTCTACTCCATTCTCGAAAACCGCCGAAAACGATGGAACGTTCAGATCCCCTGGTGTAACTCTACCCCCAAGTGCGGCGTATGTCTCTTCACAAATGTTTGAACTAATCGTTTCCGTAAAAAATTTGCTTATGAGTGTTGAATCATACCCAATGGAGCAAAGGAACCCGACATAGTCAGTGACATTCATGTCATATATCAAACCCGGATCGAGGGCTCTACTCGGGTCCACATGACCGGAACCATGAGCAAAAGGCGTCGACCTTTTCCCCGCGAGATCTCGTAATCTCTGTCCATCATTATCGAGATCGTAAGCAGTTGTCATGAGGGCAGATTTTATTGCAGCAGGTGACCAAGTAGGGTAGACCTTTTTAAGCAAAGCACTGATACCACTAACATGTGCACAAGCCATTGAAGTTCCTGAGATTATATTGAACTCAACACGTCTGGGATCGTCATCTCCCCATGGACCGATAGCGTTACTCCAAGCAGCTAAGATGTTGAGACCGGGAGCTATAACATCGGGTTTGAGAATTTGAGGAGTGAGCGGGTTCGGACCACGGCTAGAAAAGGAAGCAACTTCTGGAGCAGTAATTGGATACTCACCCGCAATCCACGTTCCATAGAAATTAATGGTTGCGGTAGGATTTTCGCTCCGTAGGTACTTCATTATTTTATATCCATCACTCATTGCCACCCGAGTTGCCGGCCAACGGTGTGGCTCAGCTAAAAGCTCTTCCCCATGCTTTCTATTGTTCACTATTATTGCTCCTCGGCCGGAAACATTTGCCACCGCATATGCACTATCTCTACTACTAGTATCCCAGTCTTGTTCACAAACAATGATTTTGTCAACGAGTTGGTCTTGCTTGTTGAATTCACCAACTTTGCAAAAGGGATTCCCAAAATCGCCACCATGGACTAGTTCATAGCGAGACAAGAATGGAAAACGAGGTCCAGGATAGAGAGATGTTCCAGCATAAGGTCTACCAGTACCAAGAATCACGCTGGCAACAAACTCCCTATCAACGCTGGAAGCGCCGACGGTAAGTACCCAAGGAGGGAGATGGTTGACGGTAGAGCGCGTAGGTCCCTTGTTTCCTCCAGAGGCAGAGACGAGAATACCGTTTTTCATAGCGCCAAACGTTGCAATGGCTATATTGTCTTGATGGTACGGTTTTGTTCCGCCAGATATCGACATGGATATTATGTCGACTCCATCGGCAACGGCTTGGTCCATGCCAGCCAAGATGTCAGCAACTCTGCACACTTTTCTCGTCGCGCAAACTTTGTACACGGCTACGCGAGCTTTCGTGGCGATGCCTATGGCTTTCCCTTTGGCGAATTTATAAAAGCTTGCGTTTGAGACCACGGATCCTGCAGCCGTTGAAGTCGTATGAGTCCCGTGGCCATCTGTGTCTCTTGGGGAATTTGTAATTGCTGATAGGTTTAACGTTGATCCAACTAAATTAGACATGTAATGTCCTGCAAGGAATGATCTTGCACCGATGATTTTTCGGTTACAAGATGTAGCTGGAAAGTCATTCCATGTCTCGCATGTGCCTTTCCAACTGGATGGAACCGGAGACAACCCTGCATCGGAGAAGCTCCGGTGCTCGGGCCAAATCCCAGTATCGAGAATTCCAATGATGATGTCTTCGCCGTAGTTGGAAGAAGGCCAAAGACCAGAGTCGGAGGAGAGTCCTAAAAATCGGTATGTATGTGTGATATGCAGTTCTTGGGCTTCGTCAGGCATGACAGAAAGAACTCCAGGAATATTTTCAAGCTCTGCAGCTTGGGAAGGAGTAAGGCTTACGGCAAAGCCATTAGCAACTCTCTCATATGTGTATAGGAGCCTGGAAGGGTGACGAGAATGAGGTAGAGATTTTATGATGGAATTGTACCAGTGGAATTGAGAGGTGAAGAGAAGCGGTTTGTGTTGTTTTGCCATGTGAACAATGAATGTCATTGGATGATCTGAATCATCTGATAACGGGTTTGAAAAGGTTATCGGGATAAGACAGAAAAAGAGGAAAATGGTAATGAAAGAATATGGATGATCAAATGTTATAGCCATGACCCCAATATGTTTGTGTTTTTGCTGGGAAATTGGTGGAGAATGGCATGGATTTCTTGGACATATATAGGAGTTGGAGACTATTATTATTATTATTATTACCTACTTATTTGATCATTGTAGCAACTTTTATATAGGAACCCCAATTAGTATGTTCTTTCCTCATGTAACTCGTTTTATGTTAGGTGACACACATGTCTTCCAGACTCTTGGTCGATTTGATCCAGAAATAGTACTGTCAACTTTAAATTAAAAAAAAAACGGAAAAAAAAGGAAAAACTGGTAAAAATTTTAGGTATACGCATCTTTCAAACTCTTGGTTCTTACTTTGCGGGTCCTTCTATGGAGCCTTCACGACATTTATGTCGATCCATGTCTATGGAGCCTTTACGATATTTGTGTTGATCTAAAAGTTTATCTTTCACATACATGTGTGTTGACGGTGAAACTTTGTCAACAGAAATACGCCGGACTACCCTTTGGTATCCCGTGAGGTTACCGGTTAGAAATTAGTTATATATTTAAAATTATGCTAAGAAGTGTTTGTTATGTTTTGTGAGCATAAAAAACAACGCTTGAATAGGAGGACACACGAGGTTTATAGTGGTTCACTCTGTTAACCAAGAGTTACATCCACTTGTGTATGGTTTATTTATTTTGGACATTTTACAAATTACATGCACGTATCCCGCTCTTTCTCCCGAACTGTTCACTCAGCCATTAGGTCTTCCATTACGGCTCTGTGAATCCCTGTAATATCTTGCTACCCCACTGTAAGGCGGTTTAAGGGTTTGTAATTAATGCCCGAATTGCAGACGTGTCCTAATTCTGGACGCAACTTATGATGTCAGGCACCTTCCTCTCGGCGTCTGTATCGTGCGGATCTTATGCCCTTCCAAGGCATAAGTTCGACGTCACAACGGGGCCTTTCTGCTGCGTTGAGGGTAGTAGAACTCTTGGCGTCGAGGATGATTGATGCCTTGGCGTCGAGGGTGGCCACCTTCGGAGGGGAGGTAGGGCCACGTGTCATGCTGTCGACGCTCCACCTGTTGCCCACATTTTCCCACACAACAATGTGTTAACTTGTTTGGCCTCAAATATATCATAGGTGTCTTTTTTAAGTTAGTACTAGTTGAAACAGGGAGAGTAATCGGTGTGTTAAGTTGTTCTTAACTAATTACCATGTTATTATTAAAAATATATAATATTTGAATATAAATAAATCCTAAAGAGAAACCAAAATTAAAAAAAAAATTAGGGGAAGAAGTCAAGATAAAGTCAAAAAAGGACTAAAACGAAGAAATAAATAAGTTTTAAGACAAAAAAAACCAAAACGAAAAAAAATAAAGTTTTAGGACAAAAATGAAAGAAAAAGGGTCAAAATGACAAAAATGAAAAAATATATAGGTTTTTAGGCAAAAGGAGCCAAAACAAAGAAAAAAAAAGTTTCAGGGCAAAATAAAAAAGAGGGTCAAAAAAGGACTAAAATGAAAAATAAATAAATTTTAGAGCAAAAGAAATTAAAACGTGAAAAAAAAAATTGGGAGAAAAATATTTAAAAAAAGTAAAAAAAGGACTAAAATTTAGAAATAAATGCTTTAGGATAAAAGGCAAAAAAAAAAAAAGAACTTGAAAAATCGGGAGAAGCAAAGAAAATTTTTCAATAAAGAACCAAAATGGAAAAACAAATAAATTTTAAGACAAACGGAACTAAAAAAGAAAATAAAAATAAAATTTTAGGGCAAAAAGGAAAAGAATATAAGGTTAAAAGGATTAAAATGAAAAATTTTAGGGTGAAAAGTAAAAAAAAAATAAAATGGAAGACTTAAGGGGGGGGGGGGGGGG